AAATATTTTAATAATCAAATTTTAATTGATTTTTTTTTACATGTTCTCAAATAAGTAAAATCCAATGTTTAAATTTTTATTTATTGATTGGTATTTGAAATTTTCTTATCCTGGTTTTATTTCCATTTTTGTAATTCTGCTCTAAAATTTAATTTATTTATTTCAATATTAACTTTGGATGATCAAATCAAATTTACATAGTTTTGGTTAAAGAAATTTGGATGATCAAATCTTCAGATAGCTGTTATGACTTGTATATATAATATTTTATTTTCAATTAGTTACATTGTTCAATTATGTATAAATTATAAAAGTTAAAAAGAAAGTTAACTTACTAATTTTCAATTTACCTTTGTACAAATAATAAATGATTACAAATATTTAGATTTTCTGAAATATCAAGACAATAAATAATTTATTTAAATAATTACATACTGGTCTGATTTAATTTAAACAAGGCTATACTTTATAATTCCAGTGATCAAATAAAATAATAAATAAAATATAAAATATAATAAATAATAAATAACATAATAAATCAAGGCTAAAAAATAAAAATTTTAAAAAACTATATTTAATTTTTCAGAATTTCATTTTCTTCAATTTTTTCAACTATAAAAATTTAAAGATTATTAATTTCATTTTAATAAATTAATAAACAATCATTAAACAAATAATTCATAAAATATAATATTATAAATTACTTATGTCATTAGGAACTTCAAACTCCCATTGTTTTGTATCTAAAATAATAATTAATGTAAATATTTTATATAAAATGTTTATTAATTTATTGTTAAAAATATAGATAATTACCATGTGTATTGGTTTTGAATTTCTTAGATTTCAGAAAAGGCAAATGTCTGCTTTTGTATATTGCTTCAGGATGCATTTCATTAGGATCATATTGAACAAAATTCCTGTTTGATTCATTTGCTACTTTAATTTGTTCTCTTACTTGTTTTTTTATTGCATTATCATAAGAAAGATATTTATTAAGTTGAGATTTCAATTCTCCAGCATTTGGACGACTGAGAGGTTCAATATTCCAGCATTTTTCCATTATTTCTTTGAGAAATTGAGGAATTTCACACTTAATTTCAGGTTTAAGCCCTTCACAAATGCTCATTGCTAGATTTTCATTATGTGGAATATTATAATATGGTGGATAACTAGTTAGAACTTCTAACATAACCATACCAAAAGAATAAATGTCAGATGCTCGAGTGTATTCTCCTTTACTTAATGTCTCAGGTGCCATGTATGGAATTTCACCATAAATATTTTCTGTATCTTTTTCTGTAATTGGTTTGCACAGTCCAAAATCAGTAATAAAACATGAAATCAAGGTTTGATTAACTATATTGCCGGAATGAAAATCTTTATGCATTAAGTCCATTTAAATTAGATGATAAATTATCATATTTTCTTCTCAAAGTTAATTCTTCAAACTTATTATTCAACAGTTTTCGAAGACTACCATAATTTTCATATTGCAAAACCATCATAAATTCATTTTTTGTTGGATTTTTGGTGATGCCATATATTGCAATTGCCTTTTTTACCTCGAAAATTAAGTTGATTTTTAATCTAAAATATTTATTAATATAAATTATATATTTTAATTAATGTAAATATGCTGAAATTTAAATAACATGAATATTTATCTCTTGCAAAAATTCTTTATTATTTGTGGAATTATTAAGACTTTTTAAGCAAACATCTTGTTCACCTACTCTATTCCAAACAGATTGTAAACCAAACTTATACCATTTTTTTCTTTTACTGGAAATAATATATCCATCAAGCCATTTTGCTTTGTATACTGTGCCAAAACCCATTTAGCAAGATGTGGCATTTTCAAGTTTGTCAAATGGAATCCACTCAATACTTTCTTGATATTCATTTACCTTTAGTTGTATTTGCTGAACAAACTCATCAATTTTTCTATCTTCACTTGTCCATTTATCAAATTCATTTTGAAATCGTTTGACATTACATGAATGGCATCAATCTTTTCCAGTATTATCTTGATAACATTCTCTACATCTTCTAAAAAATATTATGGATAATTAATTAAAGAATTGTTATATGATACTGAATTAAATTGAAACATTGATTTCAATAGTTATGAATCTAAAAACTCACTGACTGAAATATAATTTATATTGATTAGTTTATTAATTGATTAGAGAATTGTTATATGATATTGAATTAAATTGAAACATTGATTTCAATACTCACTTTCTGTAATATAATTTATATTGATTAGTTTATAATTGATTAGGGAATTATTATATGATATTGAATTAAATTGAAACATTGGTTTCAATACTCAC